CGCTACTATATCCAAAGGTAAAGTTCTAGTGCAATTTTTCTTCCGACTCGGAGCCATCATATTAGGCTTATGATTATAGGCAAAACGATGAAGAGTAGGATAAACGAAAGTTAAGATTACGATTATGGAAAAAGAAGAAGAGGAAGAAGCAAGAAACCTGTTGAAATTTTGAAGATGGAGCGCCAAAAGACCATGGGCGGATCAACTCCAAAAGCGAAATTTTGGGGGTATCGATTAAACAATCCCAAGGTAGATATGTATACAACGCTCATTTAGAATTTCAATGTATATAAATGAACGTCTAAAATGCATCAAAGTTATAATCGGTTCGTTGGTTAAGTAAGCATATGGATGAGGCAGGCGTCTCGAGATCGAATCTCACCTTTAACAGGGTGTATTCTAATTTTGTCCAGTCAAGCCAATAATTTTTTTTTAAAAAAAAAGGTTAAACCAGTAGTTACATTTTTTATCTACTTTATTTATATTTTGAAAAAAATAGGTTAATCCATTATTTACATTTTTTCCATATAAGTCATTACACTAATATGATTGTAGTAAGGTAATTATATCGTTGTAGTTCGTAGTAATGTCGACCATTTATATAATAGCCGTTTATATTAAGGTCATACGTATCGGCCTATAGCAACCATATAAGTCCTTACACTAATATGGTTGTAGTAAGGTAATTATATCGTTGTAGTTCGTAGTAATGTCGACCGTTTATATAATAGCCTTTTTCATTAAGGGCATACGTATCGGCCTATAGCAACCATATAAGTCATTACACTAATATGGTTGTAGTCGTATGACGTATGATAATTACATCGTTGCGATTCACAATAATTGATCGTCTGTATATTTTCATTATTAAGGTCATACGTATCGGCCTATATCAACCATATAAGTCATTCACTAATATGATTGTAGTCATATAGCCTAAGCTAATTATATCATTATGATTTATAGTAAACTCGACCTTTTATATAATAGGCGTCTATATAACTTCATTAATTAAGGTCATATATATTACCTTATTATATAATAGTAAATATGTAATTATATATATTTTTATTGGTTAATCTTAATTATAATAAAAGGAAAATCATGATACTTTTAGGACTAATGTATTCTAGCTTCTTTTTTAGGAGGAAAAACAAGAAGACATTTTTTGACTAAAATGTTAAATACAAATTTCGGAGGAAAACAAAGGGAAAAGTAAAAATATAATTGGAGGGAAATTGAAAGTTTTTACTCTTTATATATCTCTTAAACACAAGAACAACATCTCCAACTCTCTAAACAAAATAGATACCATAAACATGAATGCTAACGTATGGATTGAAAAAGAATTCTATCCATGGTTTCGAATGAAGGTGCCCAGATCGTACATTAAGCGTGATTTTCTGGTAATTTTATTTTTTTTAAATTTTCATGATTTGATAATTGTTGATTATCCCAACTAGGCATGAACCCTGAACCCTATCTATACATTATGTTCTTGCAGTTTATTCCAAAGAGATTCTGTGGCTATCTTCCTCCTATTTCGGTTAAAACAATGCTTCGATGTAATGGGAAGGAGTGGGCTGTGACTCTCAAAAGTGTTGTTCGTAGAAGACTCGTCAATGGGTGGAAACAATTTGTTGTCGACAATAATCTGAAGAAAGGGAATGTCCTTCTCTTTGAACTAGTTGAGGCTACATCAGGGGTTGTGATCTTCTCTGTTGAAGAGCTAGGATTAACTAATGCTTAGCTTGATAATTTCATCTCTTTAGTTATATGTAATGACTTCAAATGGATCATAGTTATGGATTCATATAATTGTTCTTTATAATATTGTTTGTGTTTTTTTCAATTTATTATTGTTATATTTTTTTTATTTCAAGAAGACTAATGTTTTATAAATAGCCAATTAAAATTGGGAAGTCATTAAACAGTGCAGAAGTCCCCCAATTTTTTTCTATCATTTTACAAACAAGAAGAAGACTATGAAGATTATTTTCTTTTTTTCAAAAAAAGTTTAAAAATCGACATTAATTTGCTCATTAATCGAAACCTAAACCTAAACGTAAACCTAAACGAACCTAAATCAAACGAGAACGTAAACCTAAACCTAAACCTAAACCTAATCAAAAATATATTTATATTAAACCAAATTACTCACGTGGGCCATATTATACAATCTTTACATGGATTAATCAAGTCTTCTAAGGTAAGACTATATGAGATAAAACCTATGAAGTGCACTTCCACTATATGGTAGAATTTTAAAAAAATAAAATAAAACGAAAACAATCTGTATAAACAATCTGTAAAACGAAAACAATCTGTATAGTCATGGAGGAGTGTAATGGTGCATAGAGGAGTGAAATATACTACTGGAAAGTGTAATGGTTGCATGAAGGAGTGTAAGGGGCTACTGGGAAGTGCAATGGATGCATGGAGGAGTGGAAGGGGCTGCTATTGGGAAGTGTAATGGTTGTTCAGATCTTGAACAACCGCTGCATGGCTCACCTGTGAGTCATAACATCTTGTACCAAGATCTGAAGCGTGATTACACCAAGCTGAAGCGTGAGGTTACAGAGTTGATTGAGAGGGTGGTTCGTGATAGTAACATTGATTACCTCAAGAGTGTCATGTTGGAAGAGCATCCCCTTACTTCGCTCTATACTATGCTTGACGATATACCCACACCATCCGTCCATAGTGGAGCTAAGAGCAATTCTATCATTGTTATCACTAGTGATACCGAGTCCGCCTCCAAGACCTCAAAGTCTCTTTCAGTGAACCAGCATATTGAGTAGTCCATGCATTATGAAGATTTATTTCATTTCTTTTTTATTATGTGTTTGTTCGTTTATGAAGTTTTCTACCCCGGCCCCTATGTTGATGTTTTTATTTTTCAAGTTATGTATTGGTGATGTTATCACCCAATGTCGTATTAATGAAGGAAATTATTATTATTATTATTATTATGTTTTGAATCTTTTTTATATTTTATATTTTTTTATGAACTTTTTCCAGATTACCTGGGGTCTTGTATTAGCAAGAATAGAGTTTGATGATACAACAAAAGGGTATAGAAAACCCTTCTAAAAACAGCGAGGCATAATGATCGTTTGATTAAAGTTAACAAAACAGTCCTATTGTCTTCAATATTCCAACAGTTCGTTTGATGCCTAATGAAATGAAAGTACTAAATAATAACTAATTTGTAAAAAATTAATTTAAAGTACTACTAAAATTGGTCTATTTAATTTTTAAATTAATATAGCACATTCAACTTATGACAACAACAACTGGACAAATAGGAAAATGTATTGTCAATAATTATGAAGATAGTTTAGTACTTCAAGATGCAAAATATAGCACATACTGAACTCATGGAGATAGTTGATGAGTACTTGAAGATAGTTGAGTGCTTATGAATCAANACCATATAAGTCATTACACTAATATGGTTGTAGTAAGGTAATTATATCGTTGTGGTTCATAGTAATGTCGACCGTTTATATAATAGCCGTTTATATTATGGGCATACGTATCGGCCTATAGCAACCATATAAGTCATTACACTAATATGGTTGTAGTAAGGTAATTATATCGTTGTGGTTCGTAGTAATGTCGACCGTTTATATAATAGCCGTTTATATTAAGGTCATACGTATTGGCCTATAGCAACCATATAAGTTCTTACACTAATATGGTTGTAGTAAGGTAATTATATCGTTCTGGTTCGTAGTAATGTCGACCGTTTATATAATAGCCGTTTATATTAAGGTCATATGTATCGGCCTATAGCAACCATATAAGTCCTTACACTAATATGGTTGTAGTAAGGTAATTATATCGTTGTAGTTCGTAGTAATGTCGACCGTTTATATAATAGCCGTTTATATTAAGGTCATACGTATCGGCCTATAGCAACCATATAAGTCATTACACTAATATGGTTGTAGTCGTATGACGTATGATAATTACATCGTTGCGATTCACAATAATTGATTGTCTATATATTTTCATTATTAAGGTCATACGTATCGGCCTATATCAACCATATAAGTCCATTCACTAATATGATTGTAGTCATATAGCCTAAGCTAATTATATCATTATGATTCATAGTAAACTCGACCTTTTATATAATAGGCGTCTATATAACTTCATTAATTAAGGTCATATATATTACCTTATTTTTATAATAGTAAATATATAATTATATATATTTTTATTGGTTAATCTTAATTATAATAAAAGGAAAATCATGATACTTTTAGGACTAATGTATTCTAGCTTCTTTTTTAGGAGGGAAAACAAGAAGATATTTTTTGACTAAAATGTTATATACAAATTTCGGAGGGAAACAAAGGGAAAAGTAAAAATATAATTGGAGGGAAATTGAAAGTTTTACTCTTTATATATCTCTTAAACACAAGAACAACATCTCCAACTCTCTAAACAAAATAGATACCATAAACATGAATGCTAACGTATGGATTGAAATAGAATTCTATCCATGATTTTCGGATGAAGGTGCCCAAATCGTACATTAAGCGTGATTTTCTGGTAATTTTATTTTTCTTAAATTTTCATGATTTGATAATTGTTGATTATCCCAACTAGCCATGAACCCTGAACCCTATCTACACATTATATTCTTGCAGTTTATTCCAAAGAGATTATGTGGCTATCTTCCTCCTATTTCGGTTAAAACAATGCTTCGATGTAATGGGAAGGAGTGGGCTGTGACTCTCAAAAGTGGTGTTCGTAAAAGACTCGTCAATGGGTGGAAACAATTTGTTGTCGACAATAATCTGAAGAAAGGGAATGTCCTTCTCTTTGAACTAGTTGAGGCTACATCAGGGGTTGTGATATTCTCTGTTGAAGAGCTAGGATTAACTAATGCTTAGCTTGATAATTTCATCTCTTTAGTTATATGTAATGACTTCAAATGGATCGTAGTAATGGATTCATATGATTGTTCTTTATAATATTGTTTGTGTTTTTTTCCATTTATTATTGTTATATTTTTTTTATTTCAAGAAGACTAATGTTTTATAAATAGCCAATTAAAATTGGGAAGTCATTAAACAGTGCAGAAGTCCCCCAATTTTTTTCTATCATTTTACAAACAAGAACAAGACTATGAAGATTATTTTCTTTTTTCCAAAAAAGTTTAAAAATCGACATTAATTTGCTCATTAATCAAAACCTAAACCTAAACGTAAACCTAAACGAACCTAAATCAAAAGAGAACGTAAACCTAAACCTAATCAAAAAATATATTTATATTAAACCAAAATACTCACATGGGCCATATTATACAATCTTTACATGGATTAATCAAGTCTTCTAAGGTAAGACTATATGAGATAAAACCTATGAAGTGCACTTTCACTATATGGCAGAATTTTAAAAAATAAAATAAAATGAAAACAATCTGTATAAACAATCTGTAAAACGAAAACAATCTGTATAGTCATGGAGGAGTGTAATGGTGCATAGAGGAGTGAAATATACTACTGGAAAGTGTAATGGTTGCATGAAGGAGTGTAAGGGGCTACTGGGAAGTGCAAAGGATGCATGGAGGAGTGGAAGGGGCTGCTATTGGGAAGTGTAATGGTTGCCTAGGGTCTCTACAAAGAGACTTTAATTCCTACCGGGAAGTGGAAAGAGATTATAATCCTCCCTATATATTTTTTCTGAAAATATGCTAGACCTACATAAGACAATCAAACTAGAAATACTACTAAGCATAACGATGGATAAGACCCCGACAAAGAAACATGTTGAACAACCGCTGCATGGCTCACCTGTGAGTCATAACATCTTGTACCAAGATCTGAAGCGTGATTACACCAAGCTGAAGCGTGAGGTTACAGAGTTGATTGAGAGGGTGGTTCGTGATAGTAGCATTGATTACCTCAAGAGTGTCATGTTGGAAGAGCATCCCCTTACTTCGCTCTATACTATGCTTGACGATATGCCCACACCATCCGTCCATAGTGGAGCTAAGAGCAATTCTATCATTGTTATCACTAGTGATACCGAGTCCGCCTCCAAGACCTCAAAGTCTCTTTCAGTGAACCAGCATATTGAGTAGTCCATGCATTATGAAGATTTATTTCATTTCTTTTTTATTATGTGTTTGTTCGTCTATGAAGTTTTCTACCCCGGCCCCTATGTTGATGTTTTTATTTTTCAAGCTATGTATTGGTGATGTTATCACCCAATGTCGTATTAATGAAGGAAATTATTATTATTATTATTATGTTTTGAATCTTTTTTATATTTTATATTTTTTTATGAACTTTTTCCAGATTACCTGGGGTCTTGTATTAGCAAGAATAGAGTTTGATGATACAACAAAAGGGTATAGAAAACCCTTCTAAAAACAGCGAGGCATAATGATCGTTTGATTAAAGTTAACAAAACAATCCTATTGTCTTCAATATTCCAACTGTTCGTTTGATGCCTAATGAAATGAAAGTACTAATAATAACATTTGTAAAGATTAATTAAGTACTCTAAAATTGGTCAATTTATTTTCCAAATTAATATAGCACATTCAACTTATGACAACAACACTGGACAAATAGGAAAATGTATTGTCAATAATTATGAAGATAGTTTAGTACTTCAAGATGCAAAATATAGCACATACAGAACTCATGGAGATAGTTGATGAGTACTTGAAGATAGTTAAGTGCTTATGAATCAATATAGTAGGGATTAAAACAAGTTCAAAATGATAACACTTTGGCACTTATAAGGTTCCAGCAATATAGACAAATTAAAACATTCAGTTCATTTCAAAATATTTTTAAAAAAAAATTATATTCTTATTTCATTCCAACATGGAGTACAAAAGACAAAGGCTTTGGCATCTATTCTACAGAGATTGAATGCGGCAACCAGTAACACATCAAACTAAACAATCAAACTGATAATAACCAAAATAAACAATAATCAAACTGAACATTTTATGAAATTTTCATCCCTACAAACATTCCAGCTAACAACACAGATGACATAGCACTTTCATCAACACACGCACTTGAAGATTGTTCTTCACTGTAAACATTTTCTTTTTGGAATTCATTGAATGCTGCTACTGCTTCATCATAAGATTTGTAAGACTTGAAGATGCTTCCTTTGAAACCTATAACCAAGGGAGCACACTCACACCAAGAGTTGTATAATCCTGGCTTTTTACCACGAAATACCACATACACCTTCGATGCCGATATATTATCAGCTTGAGATCCATTTCTAAACTCACTAAAAGCTGCTATGGCTTCATCATACGTTTTGAAGGCCTTGAAGATGCTGCCCTTGACACCAATAACCATAGGAGCACACCGATGCCAAGAGTTGTACAATCCAGGCCTCTTAGCACGAAACACTACATAAACTTTCGAAGCATTATTCCTCTTCCTGTGGTCCATTCCTTAATCTAACCCTAAGAAAGATAAGAGATGAAGAAGGAGAAAACAAAGATAGAAAAAAGGGGGCTGGAAAAGCTTTTTAGGTTCGGCCAAATATATTAAGTGTTTAGGGTTAGAAAGTGACCACTTTAGTAGTTTAATTTTTATACGTATCTTTTCTAATNATTATCTGTATATATTTTAGTGTATTTCGATTAATTGGTATAGTATATGTAAATTTTAGTGTATTTCGTTTAATTAGTATAGTATATGTATATGTGCTTTATAGAAATTGATGAAGCATGCATCTTGGGAAGGTAAGACAATTAAATTAGTGAGAGAGAATTGTTGAAAAAAATTAATTTAAAACGAATAATCTGCCAAAGGGTATACATGGAAAACGAAAATGCGCAAATATCTATTATGCCCTCAAAAGCCGTGCGAAGTTACCATTATACCCCCATTTGGGACGTTTGGGCCATTCTTGGTTTGGCCAAATATATTTTCCGATTATATTTATGTGAAAATAGGTATTACTGATTAGAAAATATTGTGACCACATTTATTGCAATACATCAAGTATAAATAATTTAATTTTAAAAGTAAGAGTCAAAATTGATCGTCAATACTTGTATCTTGTCCAAATTAACTACAATATCGTATATTAAATTCGCTATCATTTTTTATGACCGCCCAAAGCGCGAACAAATTAACTTGTTTCTACTAAATGCCGACTAATCAGAGTTATGGGATTCCTTAACAGTATGATTGGGCAAGTCTTCTCTAGCAATATATCCATATATATTCTCTCATAAAGATGAAAGTAGGATGAAAAATCTGAACCGCAAATTCAACGTATTATGCCTATTGGGGGAGGTTTATTAGTGATGCAAATAGCAAATCTGATTCCAAATGCAAGTTGATGTGCAAATCTGATTCCATATGCAAGTTGGTGTTAGATACGACCACCCCTAAATGTGCGCCATTTCAGAACCTCAATAAGAGGAATAAGATCCTCACTTATCTGATTGGAATCCTAAATTCCTCTTGCCATAGCCCTATAAATCTGACCAACTATACAGAGCATTTATACAAGCAAATTAGCTCAATATTTTAGTACGACTCCTCTTCTTTAGACAATCCAAAATGGTTCTCCAAACTGAAAGCTACCCTGCTCCTGGCTTCAAGCAGCAACAAAGCTACTATAATGCGAACGACTTCTACTCCTCTGAGGACAAATATAACAGCAACTACGGCTCAAGCATGCAAATGACAAAGCCTTATGGTTATCCCAGCGTAACCACTCCTCAGCGCACCCAACATCACATGATGATGAGCCAAGGCGGCTATAGCCACGACGATGATAGCTGGTACAACAAGGACAAATACCAAACTGGCTATGGTCAACACAATAGCCATGCCCAATATGGGCACATGTCCCATGATTCCTCAAACTTTTCCAGCGATAATAGTGGCTATGGAAGTGGAATGCAGCACTCTAGTTCCCACATCGATGGTGGCTATGGGAGCGGAATGCAGCACTCTAGCTCCCGCATGAATGGTGGCTATGCGAGTGGAATGCAGCATTCTAGTTCCCATATGAATGGTGGCTATGGAAGCGGAATGCAGCATTCTAGTTCCCTCATGAATGGTGGCTATGGGAGTGGAATGCAACATTCTTCCCACATGAATAATGGCTATGGGAGTGGAATGCAACAATCTTCTTACTCTCATATTCCTAGGGGATTGGGACCAACAGAACACGCTTCTCCCAAATACTATGGACAGGATTCCGATAGGGGCCCTGGTTACTATGAGCAGAACAGCAAGAATACTGATATGTGGAATTTGAAGAGTTTGGATGATTAAATTCCCATCTCTTTTATACAAGGTGAAACTGTGTGCTTCGGTTGAGGCTTTGGCTATATCACAAACGCCTGTAACCTAAATAACAAATATAAACAACCCTGCTGCTATCTAGTTATCTATGTATTTGCTTTTTTATAACTAAACTAAGAATAATTTGAATTATACGTAGCTATAATGATCTTGGTGAAGTCATTTATAATCGTAGTTGTTGTCATGTTACAGTTCCATAGCAGGGCCTAAATAAACCATGTGACTGTCACGACCCAATTTATCTAAGAAAGCGAACCAAATAACACAAGAATACTGATCACGCCCAACTATGCCTTATAAAAAGGACCAAGCGATCGCTGCAAATATAATCCGGTCTAAGAGTCAGGAGTCGAATCCCACAGAGAACTAAGGTTTAGCTCCAACTGTTTACTAACACAAGGAAGACAATCTCGAACAATTCCTAAATTATTAATATTAAGATTTTGTTTTCTAATTAAATAACAGTTTAAAATAGTAAATTAACAACTAAAGACACTAAGGGTTGCAGATAAGATTAAGGAGAGGTCTAGAGTTATGTTTTCCCAATTGTCGGAATTCTCCCCGCTATGTTTCCTATAATTTTACCTAAGTATCTTCTACAGATCGTGAGTACTTCGGGTGCCGTAATTCTCTTCCAAGCAAATACCATAATTTACTAGACATATTCTTCTAAACTACGTTGGCTGGCACTAGTTCACCGCTCACAAAGATCGCACCAAGGTTTTGTTATTCCTAGTCCCACCTTTAAACCCTCTGTATTGATTCCTCACATACGTTAGGAGTGATGTTGTTCAACAACTACCTAAATGTGTATCATTTTTCAAGCAATACACACTAAGTAGGCACAATCAATTGAGGGCCCTTCAATCAACTAAGATAATCACGTAGTTGAACAAGTAAAGAAAATCCAACGGCAAAATTATATTAAACGCAACAGAAAATCATCCTCCAAAAGGTTCCATCAAACTCGAGATAAAAGAGTTTGGCTACTCATAACCACACTAACAATCATGATAATAATTGAAAGTATTAAACTATAGATTAAGGAAGAAAGGAGAGAAAACTCTTATGATCCCTTGCTTCAAAGTGTTCCTGTAGTCTTTTGTCTCTCTAATAATGTCTCCCCTTTTTGAGGTTATGAACCCCGTTTTATATATGTTGGGGGCGTGTAGGGTCGAAACTACCAAGTCCTTGCCGAATTAGGACGAAATCCGCCCTTGGGCGTCCCGCTTTGCGCCTGGCGCAAGCCTGGACACCAAACTTTTTCCACTTTTGTGCTCTGTTGCCCTTGGCGTTTTGGTTGGTGCGTGGCGCGTACCTGGGCACCAAGGTCATACTTCCTCCAAATTCGTCTGTTTTTACTTCAATTTGCATGCAAGCTTTTCAAATCACTTCCAATTGACTCCTACACATATAAATACCATTATTAAGCTCGAATCACAAATATTCACACCAGAGCTAACAAGATCGAGGCATAATGCAAGGCAAATTACATTCAAAAAATAGATTATTAGCCTAATATCACCACCCCACACTTAAGCACTTGCTCGTCCTCGAGCAACCTAAAACCTCGCTAACCAAATAATGCATGCAAGACATCATACAACAGAGGAAAATTTGGCAATTCAATGCACTACACCTATAATCATGGTTGATACCAATAATTAAGCCCTTGCATACGCATTCATACCTTTCACGACTTTCACATGCCTAAATATTAGTGACAATTTTAAAATACTCAAACAACCTGCCCATAACCATCCAACCTCAAAGACCGACTCGTGGCAAATAAGCACTCTCAACTCGTGCACTCACCCAACAAGAAATGTTTTTTAAAGTCATGTATCCATCATGGAATCTGGTGCCTCATCAAAGATTAAGAGGGTATTTCATCCATACATTCAAATATAATTTAAGGACATCACATATATGAATAAAGAACCACTCACTCTCACATGAAAATTCATGCGCATTCTGTGGTTGTACCATAAGCTTGCCCGTAGTGTATATCTCCACTAATCTAAGCTTGCACAGTCTAAGATCAATTAGGTCCTTACGGGTTGTAATGTAGGCTAAGGAGCGGTTAGGATATATTCTGGGTATAATGACTAACCCTCCTAAGAACTTTAATACACCATACTTAACTTTCAAATACACATTCTTAATGACCAATTCAAGCAATTCCACGAAATCATATACAACTTGGCCCTTCTTCTTTAAGCACAACTATGCATTCACTAGCCGGGATTAAGAGGAATATGAGGTGTATTTTCTATATATTTTTTTTCTTTTTGTTTTTTCTTTTTGTTTTTTTTTCTTTCCCACTCTCCATAAGTTGGTTTGCGCGGCTAATGGTCTTTCAAAATATACATGCACCTTTTGGCCTTTCTAGCGTTTCACTCAAAAGCTACCCCAACTCTCACCTTACTGTTTTAGCGACTTAAGTACTTTCGGAGGTAAATGTATGAAAAGATTCAATTAAGAACAAATGGAAATCAACTTGAAATGTGGGTGCCAAAGAAAAGGTTCATAGGCTCAAATGCGCTATCTAAGGATAATTTTATTTACGGTGGCATAATAGCTCAATGGACAATCAAAGAAACACCTACATCATCTCCTAGCCTCACAAAGGTCACTTACTTTGCTTCGACTAACACACATGGCAAGCTCTAGACAAATACAAGATAGTACATAATTTAATCAAAACCTCACATCACCCAATGCGCATGAGCCCTCAGCACGGTTCCATTCCAATTCTCAAGTTTAGGCAAGTAAGCACAAAGTCAGTAAGTAATAAGCAATAAAGCACTATATGAACAATGAGTCAAGTAACTGAGAGAAAGCGTCACAGACATGCTATTCAATCTTTCACGTCATCAATTTTCATCAAAACATGTTAGGAAGGTAATTTGCATGCCAAGGCCTAACTATGCTAGCATCAAACAGGTCAAAAGGCATAGAGGACACTCAAGTTTTGTTCCCTTGGCTTCCTTGAATATATTTTAAAAAAAATAACTACCTGGTTCAAGTTACATCCCTTGGAAAAGAACCGATGCAAAAATAAAAACCAAGAGGGGTTATTATCTACTCACGCCTAAATAAATAAGATATTTTTGAATTATTTTATTGGACCGTAATCCCTAAAAAAAGTTGTCCAAGAGATCCATCTTCAGAAAAAGTCCCTTATTTTTAAAGTTAAACTAACACAACTAAAATATCATAGAAAATCACCCAAACAATCTCCTCACCCACACATAAAAATGTGCATTGTCCCCAATGCACACCATGCATAACTAGAAAAGAGAGTGAAAGAAACTCCCTGGTAGGCTAAAGGACGAAGATTAGCAGCTCATAGGATACTCAGACTTCTCCCAGACTTGATTCTTTGTGCGGGAATCCCACACTTAGTTCTAACCATCTCACTTGCTTTTGCTTTCTTCCAATGGCCTTGATTCCCATGTTCCTATAAAAATAAAAAAGACAAAACTACAAGAATAAAAATCAAAATAAAAACAGTAAAGATGGATTGCCTCCCAACAAGCATTTGATTTAACGTTGCGGCATGACGCAAATCACTTTTTGCCTCCACCTCGAGCTTATGAATTGAACACCAAGTTTTTCTTCAAGCTTATGATTATGCTCTTGGGACGGTACAAATTCTTGCAAGCAAAAAATTTAATAAATTTACATGCACTTTTGGCTTTCGACCGAGGAGTGTCACCTTGCCTAAACAGCCTTGAAAATTTCAAAATATAAGGCCCGTCTACCTCTTCCCTTGACTCATTTTTATGATCATACAGATCAATTCTCATTTCGTCATCTGAACATAATGTAGAGAAGCGTTTAGAATGAGGTCCAACACGCTCAAATACAGGAACGTCAAGATTTTCAACCTCCTCAATACCAATCACACTAGAGTCAACTAAATTTGTACCTTCAATGTCCTTGGCTGACTCTAGTATTCCGTCCTCAACATCGGTATCCTCAAATCCTAGTTGGATAGATTGTTGGTGTTCTACTCTGACATCCTCTATTAGCAACTCAATTTCAGTATTTGATTCATGCTCTTCTTGGCTACTATACCCAATATTGGCTTGTTGAGCATTAAATTCTTCAACCAATTGACTCATTTGTGCCTCTAGGTTGCAAATAGTAGCATCTTGCGTTTGTATATGCAGTCGTTTCTCATTATTTTGTTTCACAAGGCACCTTAGCATATCTTTGATCTCGTTCATGTCATCATCCCTGGGTTCTTTGATTCTATTAACTTCACAAGAAAAAAGTAGAACCGTCATAGGAAGGGATTGGGGAAAAATAAGAAATATAAGCATAATCATGAAAATGATCATCTTGACCACCACAAATATCACACACATTCCACATATAATATTGAGTTGGGGCACATAACTCGAACTCAGGAATATTTTGACAATTTTGCACTTGGTGGCTTCCTCCATAATATGCATAAGGAGGATCAAAAGTAGAATTACCAACATCAAAACTCTCATAATTCCAAGATGCCATGTATCTCAAATTAAAAATAAAAACAAAATAAAAATAAAATAAAAAATAAGCATACTCGACACAAAGCAATATTTAAAGCTATAACTACATCGTTAGTTCCCCGACAACAGCGCTAAAATTTGGTCACACCTAACTATTGCCTTATAAAAAGGACGCAGTCGGTGCACATATAATCTAGTCTAAGAGTCTTGAGTCGAATCCCACAGAAAACTAAGGTTTAGCTACAACTGTTTACTAATACTGGGAAGACAAGCTCGAATAATTCCTAAGTTATGAATATTAAGATTCTATTTTCTAACAAATTAATATAGTAAATTAACAAATAAAGACACTAAGGGTTGGAGATAAGATTAAGTAGAGGTCTAGAGTTAAGATTTGCCCAATTGTCGGAATATTCCTCGCTACATTTCCTATAATTTCGCCTAAGTATACTCCACCGATCCTGAGTACTTCGGGTGTCGTAATTCTCATTCAAGAACCTACCACAATTTACTAGATGTATTCTTCTGAATTATGCTAACTGGCACTAGTTCATCGCTCACCAAGATCGCACTAAGATTTCGTTATTCCTAATCCCACCTTTAAACCCTCTGTATTGATTCCTCACATACATTAGGAGTGATG